CCCAAGTTTTAGCTCTTGCTTGGATGGAAAACTCCAATTCCAGCCTTGTTTTAGGGGCTGTGGGCACAAGAGGGGGGCACAGGGGTCAGCAGGACCCCCAAACCCTCCTCTTTGGCACCCAACACTCCTAAATGTGTTGGATTTCCCAGCGTGTCCCAGTGGAGGTTGTTGTAATGAGGGTGGCTTTGCTATTAAGGGATCCTTTGGATATCCCAAGTTTTAGCTCTTGCTTGGATGGAAAACTCCAATTCCAGCCTTGTTTTAGGGGCTGTGGGCACAAGAGGGGGGCACAGGGGTCAGCAGGACCCCCAAACCCTCCTCTTTGGCACCCAACACTCCTAAATGTGTTGGATTTCCCAGTGTGTCCCAATGGAGGTTGTTTTAACAAGGTTGGCTTTGCTATTAAGGGATCCTTTGGATATCCCAAGTTTTAGCTCTTGCTTGGATGGAAAACTCCAATTCCAGCCTTGTTTTAGGGGCTGTGGGCACAGGGGATGGCACAGGGGTCAGCAGGACCCCCAAACCCTCCTCTTTGGCACCCAACACTCCTAAATGTGTTGGATTTCCCAGTGTGTCCCAATGGAGGTTGTTTTAACAAGGTTGGCTTTGCTATTAAGGGATCCTTTGGATATCCCAAGTTTTAGCTCTTGCTCGGATGGAAAACTCCAATTCCAGCCTTGTTTTAGGGGCTGTGGGCACGGGGGGGGGGGCACAGGGGTCAGCAGGACCCCCAAACCCTCCTCTTTGGTGCCCAAAACTTTTAAATGTGATTTCCCAGCGTGTCCCAGTGGAGGTTGTTGTAACGAGGGCGGCTTTGCTATTAAGGCATCCTTTGGATATCCCGGATTTGAGCTCCTGCTTGGATGGAAAACCACAAGGGACAGGTTGGATGAGACTTGGAGCAACCTGGTCTGGTGGAAGGTGGGTGGAACTGGGTGGTCTTGAAGCTCCCTTCAACCCAAATCATTCCATGATTCCATGATTCCACAGCCAGGAATGACCCAGCTTGCCAAGAGCCCCTCCAGGCACCGAAAGCAGCAGCCAAGACAACTTCCCAAATCCCCAAATCCCCACATCCCTGCTCCAGGCTCCTCCTGCTCCACCACCACGAGCCTTTCCCACCACCACAGCTCCAAGCTGGGATCCCAAAGGGCCCCGAGATCCCAAAGGGATCCCAAAGCAGGACCCACAAACTCCACTGTGCCGAGGCTCTGCCTGCTCCCTCCAGCCTTCCCGGGAAAAACCCAGGCTGGGCGCTTGGAAAAACCCTCGAGAGGTCTGATCCCTCCTGGAAAAGCATCGGGATGTGCCCGTGTGACGGGAGCTGCTCCAGCCCCGCCGGGTGAGCCGGTTTTGGGGTGGGAAAATCCCACTGGAGCGTGGCTGGGTTAGTTTAGGGTTTAGGTCAGGCTTAGCTCGGGCTCAGCACGGAGGGATGAGCAGCTCCAAGCTGGGAAGAGGAGGAGGAGGAAGAGGAAGAGGAAGAAGAGGAGGAGGAGGGATGGGAGAATTCCCACATCATGCAGCGCAGAGCAGGAAACTCACGGATACTCCTGACGGAGGCCCGGGAAGGTTTGTCCGACCGGAAAGAGGAGGAAGCTGCTTCCAAACAAAAAAGAGACATGCTTAAAAACCATGGGAATGGGGACAGGGAAAAGGCAGGGAAGGGCTGTTAGGAGAAATGGGGGGAGGGGGGAAACGTGCTGTTAGAGACCCCCCGGGAGGGAGGGAGGGAAGGAGGGAGGGAAGGAGGGAGGGATGCAGTGGGATGGAAGAGGGGAGGGAGGGAGAGATCCTTGGTTTTTCCTGCTTGGCACTGAGTGGGCACTGAGTGGGCACTTCCCAGGCTGGAACATCCCCAGAGCCAACATGACAAAGGCTGTCCTGCCCCGAGAGCCCACAGCCCGATCCAGAGGCATTCCTGACGTTTTCCAGGGCCACATCCAGAGCCATCCTTCCCGGGCAAACGGAGCAGCTCCAGGGGCACAGGGGGGAGGGAGGGCACAGCCCTGGCACAGCCTCACCTGAGACTTTGGGGGTGGGGTTGCAGGAGAAGCCCCCGTTGGACTGGTCGCTCTCTCCGAAGTCGTAGCTCTCCCTGGGCTTGGGCTTGTATTCCCGCTTGGGGCGGGAGGAGGCCTCCCTCATCCTGGGAGAAGGGAAAAAAGGGGGGACAAACTGAAATAAGGGATGGGATGCGATGGGATCGACGTGTTTTTCCTCCTCCTGGCTCGGGTTTTTGTGGAGAAGGATCTGCTCGACTCCCCGCGCCGGAGCCTTTGGAAGGTGGGTCTTCCCACCCTCGGAGGGAAGGGAATTCCAGGCTTTGCCATGGAATGCTCGGGAATTCAGGCCAGCAGAGGACACTCGTGCTGTAGTTTGGAAGCTGAGGCTTGGCAGGATCCTGCTCCCAGCTCCTCCTTGTTCCAAGCGGACACATGGGATCCATCCACGGGATCCACTCGGTGGCTTCTCCCGGGAGGAGGGAGCGGATCCGGCCCTGCAGGGAATCCACCCCTCCTTCCCCAGCCCCAGTTTGGGGACGTGGTGGCTCAGGTGACCCGGGGGAGTTGTGCAAACCAGCTCATTCCCTGTTCCAACAGCTCCCCTGTGGATTCTGGCAGCTGCTGGAGGGCAGGAATCCCGGGAGGGCAGGAATCCCAGGAGGGCAGGAATCCCGGGAGGGCAGGAATCCCAGGAGGGCAGGGCAAGACCAGGCAGCTCCAGGGGTGTTCCCACCTGCCTCCCAGCACCAGCTCACAGGGCTCAGAAGCCCAGAGATGGGGTGGCATGGAGGGGATTCCAACCCTTTTCCATCCCTGCCAAGCTCAAATCCAGCCTTGCCGGGAGCAGCGCTTGGAGAAGGTCTGGATTGAAACTCCAGAAGTGGCTTTAACACCCAGGAACAGATTCCCTGGGAGGGTGGGGAGGGGCTGGGATGGAATTCCCAGAGAAGTTGTGGCTGCCCCATCCCTGGAAGTGTCCAAGGCCCCCTTCCAGGGCCTGAAGGGGTTACAGGAGAGCTGGAAAAGGATGTGGGACAAGGGATGGAGGGACAGGACACAGGGAATGGCTTCAAATTGAAAAGGGGAAATTTAGATGGGATATTGGGAAGGAATTCTGGGCTATGAGGGTGGGGAGGGGCTGGGATGGAATTCCCAGAGAAGCTGTGGCTGCCCCATCCCTGGAAGTGTCCAAGGCCAGGTTGGAGCACCCTGGGATAGTGGGAGGTGTCCCATGGCAGGGGGTGGAACTCCACGACCCTCACGGCCCTTTCCAACCGCCCCCGTTCCGGGATCCTGTGATTCCCAGGGAGTCTCCTGTGTCCCCAGACGGGCAGGGGGGAGGTTGGGGGTGCCCCTGGGACTCACCTGCGTTTGAGTTTCTCGGCCAGCTCGTCCAGGATCTGCACGGCCTGGCGGTGATAGTCCAGCTGGGCGTCCACCAGCGCCGAGAGCTGGCTCACCTGCTCGATCTGCGGGAACACCGGGTGGGAATGGCTGTGCCCCCTGGCACAGGAGGCACAGGACACCCCACACTGCCCCCAGGGCACAGCAGCAAACCGGGAAAACGGAGCAGCAGGGGATGAGGAGAAGGTTTGGGATTTGGGGCACCGGAGGGGAGGAACCGGCTGAGGCTCAGCAGGATTTGGGATGCTCCTGTCACTGCAGGATTTGGGACACTCTGGACACTGCAGGATTTGGGACACTCTGGGCACTGCAGGGCTTGGGACACCCCTGCCACTGCAGGATTTGAGACACCTCTGTCACTGCAGGGTTTGGGACAGTCTGGACACTGCAGGGCTTGGGACACCCCTGCCACTGCAGGATTTGGGACACTCTGGTCACTGCAGGGCTTGGGACACTCCTGTCACTGCAGGAATTGGGATGCTCCTGCCACTGCAGGATTTGGGACATTCCTGTCACTGCAGGGTTTGGGACAGTCTGGACACTGCAGGATTTGAGACACCTCTGTCACTGCAGGATTTGGGACATTCCTGTCACTGCAGGATTTGGGATGCTCCTGCCACTGCAGGGCTTGGGACACTTCTGTCACTGCAGGATTTGGGATACTCCTGTCACTGCAGGATTTGGGACACTCCTGTCACTGCAGGATTTGGGACACTCCTGCCACTGCAGGGCTTGCTTGCTGTGAAATCCTGCCCAAACTCATCCCACTATGGAGAGGAGACTCCATCCAGTGAGATTCCTCCTTGGGAACTGGAGCTGACTCCACTGAGAGGAGACTCCTTGGGAATCAGAACTGATCCCTCCATGGAAAAGAGACTCCTTCCACTGAGGTTCATCCTTGGGAATCAGAACTGAT